GCCCTTTTAAACTTATAGGCATATATACAATTATGGCATAATTGCACCACGATTATCTAAATTGTTCTAAATGCTTAAATTCGTACAAATTATAGTTTATAAAGTAATCCTAGTTGACCATCAACTGAATGATCGGAACGGTCGGCGGCCATGGCGCCGCGTCCCGATCGATATGGGGAGATTCGATATATACAACGGCGCGACGACCACGGCCCTATAAGTCAAAAGCTCATGCAATAGATTATGCAACGTCCCAGTTACTGTACTGATTGGATGACCACAAACGCAGTTTGACATTTAACTTTTCAAATATGCAAAATTAATTATTTTAAGTACTGTGTTTACAAAACTGCAAGTTAACGTTAGTTTTGAAAACTTGCCAGCTTTTGTGTAAAAACGTTCTAATTTCTTTTACATAGAAAGGGGTATTTCGCCGTGAAAACGTTCGATAGTTCACCAGCGAACAAATTGGACGAGCTAAACCCACACCCCAATTCCTGCGTGGAAACCGACTGATGGCACTATAACTCGAAACACACTTGAAGTTATTGTAATAGTAACAATTGTAATTCATTTCCAATCGTGTTTTGAAATAAATATTCTGAATTTAATAGGAGAATCTAAGATCTCGTCATTATTTCTCGAAAATTCTTTCAAAAATGTAGATACCAACTCATAATCTTTCTTAAAATAGAAAGCCCATGATAGTCTTTTAGTAGTCGCCATTTTGTTAAAAACGGTCACGTGATGTGGGCCGCAGGAAATTGTAACGCACTGAATACACGAGAAATGTTGTTTTTTTTTAAATCGAAAAAAAGATCGATAGTTACATATGCATAAACCAGATTTCAGCTAATTTTCACACAATATTTTGTTTTCGCTAAAACTTCGAAGCAATCTATATTTTGCGATAGAAGCAGCATTCCAAGAAGGATAGCGTACAAGATTTACCAACAGTGATCTATTTATTGAAATTACAAAATGTATCGCTGACACTAACGTATTCAATACACGAACCACTTTTTCTGTTTGCTGCCAGTGAGAGTATAAGAGTGCCTTCCTTCTACAGATCATACCTGCTTGACAAAGCTAATACTGTATCGAT